TACTTTTAAAAGTAACTTTCCCCAACACTGACTATATCTCACCTACAAACTGAATATTAAAAATATTGACAGACAGAATAAAGTTTTCATGAAATATGTCTGCAGGGCTGTAGCAAGTATATAGTAAATGGGGGATGACTGTATCTGCCCTCAGATCAAGGGGAGATAATTATCATTTTTAAATGCAACTTTTAATTAGTGAGCATAGACCAATATACAGGCAAAGAGCCCAGAATTTGAAATTGTTAGCAGTGGACACCAGTTATAATTATGGGGGAGAATTACTCATTAAATGAAGTATCTGTCTAAATCAGAGAGATTAATGTATTACTATTTTGACATCTTTAATACAATATGAACTCCAATTAATCATGGTGGAAATAATTATATAGGCTTATTCCTAAAATGATTTCTGATGTCATAGAGAACACTCAGTTAGGAAATATGCCCAATATGGGGCAACTTATAACACAAAATATTTTCTGTAGCCAAATAATGTGAATAATGACTTGACATATTTCAGAATATATCATATGTCATGGGAATATTTATAATTATTTATTTTTTACCTGGTCTTCTGTAATATTTCCCCACAGGATTTTTTACATTCACCTGTTTACCAATTTATGTGTCCTGAAAGATTTTTTACATTGTATTTCTTTTTTTTCTTTTTAATTTCCAAGGTCTGAGGAACACAATAATACAATAATAATAATAATAAAACAATAATAATAAAATAAAAAATAATTTAAAAAATCATCATCCTTATAATATTATATTACTGACTGAATAATAGAATGTGATTGACGTGAATGGGAAGCATCAAAATGTGTTTAAAGACTATATGTGACCCTGGATCTCAAAACCAATCATAAGTCACACAGATATATTGGTAGCAATAGCCAAAAATACACTGTATGGGTCAAAATGATTGATTTTTCTTTTATGCCAAAAATCATTAGGATATTAAGTAAAGATCATGTTCCATGAAGATATTTTTTAAATTTCCTACCATAAATATATCAAAACTTAATTTTGATTAGGAATATGCATTGCTAAGAACTTAATTTGAACAGCTTTAAAGGCTGATATATATTTCTCAATATTTAGATTTTTTTTGCACCCTGATTCCAGATTTTCAAATATTTGTATCTCAGCCAAATATTGTCCTATCCTAACAGTCCATACAAAGGAAATCAATGGAAAGCTTATTTATTCAGCTTATTTATTATATGATGCATAAATCTCAATTTCATAAAACTGACCCTTATGACTGGTTTTGTGGTCCATGGTCACATATTTACATTAACCATTTATATAATTTAAATATAGGCCTACACAATGTCAGTGCTAAAAAGCATTATAAGAGATTACTTGTTGACTCAGAATCACTCTTATATACAGCGTTGCTTCATATGCAGTAAATTATATAAGCTTAATTAAATCTTCTTACATCAACTTGCCCAATTAAAACAGGCCTAATTTATAGACTACGATTCTGAACCCTAAACGGCCGTATGGTGGCGCTGTATTCCCGCTGGTCGTGTTCACGCGTGTGGCGCTATACAACTTATAACCACATGGGGCAGTAGCACGCACACACGTTTAATGCAGGTGGCACAATGATTGAAAGTGGTGTTACTCCCAAAAAAACAAACAAAAAAAAAGGCTGACCATACCAGTACTATGAGTTTGCACTACTTCTCCGTCTTATTTAAAGATAAGTGATATTGTTTTATCTGTGTAATAGTACTAAATGAGTATATAAAATCGCTAAAATTACATAATTATACATGAAAGGCCAGCACCATATCCAGCTTTGCCTACAACATGAAAACAATGGAATGGACCAGACACTTAATAAAAAATAATGTTCATTCACTATTTTGCGGTTAGATAAGCCTAAATATGAACAATTTGTTTTCAACCACGTTAAAGAACAGACAGGATCATGACAAAATGACATAGAAATCCAATGACAAGTGATGACGCGTGTTAATTTATTACAAAACAAATTGACACTGACAATATGTTAAAATACCTCTATTTTCCTGTGGCGTTCTAGTGTTTGCTTTCTCTTCACAGTGATTCAATATGAACAAAGTGTTGAAATAGTTACTACTGCAGAACCACTGAGCTTTACAAAAAGGAAACAAGCAAAAAAGCACAGACATTTACAATCATTTGACTTCAACCCACACAAATACCAGAACAATAATATGAATAAACATCCGCAAATTGAGTAAAAAATAGATTTTAATCTTTTAAATACAACATTTTGGAATACAAATATTGTTTTGTTCTTATTATTACTATTGACTGTTATCACTAGTGTTACTGTTGAGGTTTGATTTACAGTATATCAATATACAGAAAAATGTGAAAAACATTTAGGTAAATTCTGGTATTGCTTGCTCATTTACATAAATATACACAGACACACAAAGAAACACCTAGCCATGAATTTAATTTATCTTTCAATCATATGTTATGTTCTAAGTCTGACAGACAAAATGGCTTTATATAATGCTTACCATTATGAAAACACTACTGTAATATCATCATTATATTAGAGTTATTATTGACACAAACATTGACATATTTTACAGCTGTCTTTGAATGGACCCACTCATTCATGGTTATGTACACAGTCCATGACATCCCAGTAACCACTTAGGAGAGACATTAACTTCTTGTGTATAAAAGGAAAAAAAAAGAAGCATTTTTCAGTTTTGATAAATGCATATAGATTGAATAAAAAAAAATAAACCAAGTTAATATCCCATAAATTCCCTTAACTGGCATAATTTTAAGAAAAAATAGAGAAAGTTTTGCAGTGATAAACACATATTAGTGCCTGAAATCTGCAATATTATATTGAGTGAAAATGAACACAAGAATATAACGTCCACTGGCTTTCATATGTCTTAAAGTTAGTACTTTAATCACAAAAAGGATAAATCTAAAAAACAATTCAATACAAAACAGACATTTGATAACAATCTCCCAAATGAATTGCTTTATTTCAATACCAAACCTTCCAAGGCCAAGCTTCATAGTCTATATGGAAAACCAAAACCTAAACTCATGCCATGAGCACAAAATGAGCAACAGAAACTCATATGATCACCCTAAGCACGTCCCCTCAGTATCCTGCACTAAAAAAACCTGCAGACCCAGATTAATCCTAATGTTGAGCTGAAAATATTATAAATATCAACCTTGGAAGATTCTTTCCCTCTGCATCTGTGGCGGGTATCTGCAGCGAACCCCTTTCAGAGCGCTCATACAATCATTGCTGCGAACAGCATACAGTGAAAATCACCCTGAAGATGTGGCGTCACCTCCCAGGCCTAACTCTGTACAACAGTGCTTTTCATTTTTAGTACTTAAATTGGTAAAGAGGCCAAAATGGCAACTGGCTTTTCTTCCTCCTGTTTTCACGTGTAGGTTAAATAAAAGGTAGAGGAGTTGTAGCACTCTAAACGGAGTATGATTGCATATAATATCAGACGAGCGTCTGCAAACAAACAACTATGAGGAGATCACGCAAACACATCCTAAAACAACCAAACGAAGAGTCTCGAAGCGACGGCTCGGGATGAGCCCAAATCGTGAGGCTTTCCAATTTGCATTTAAATGTTGCTCTGCACCACAGAGGCTTTCAGTTTGAATATCACAGAATGAACCTGCGACTGTCCGGCTGCGTCCGTGCACAAATTAAGGATTGTAATACAGAATATGATCTTTCTTCTGAATGACTAAAAATGTCTTTCCAAATGAATTACTCCCAATCATTCACAAGCAGGCCAGTGTCATCTGAAGAATCGAGGACGATATCAGAGGGTCCCACGCCGTCTGAAAAACTATTACAGCAAAAATCAAACTACAGTAGTGGCCTACAGGAGGAAAAAACTCCCCGTTTACCCTGATTTAGACGCACTGTTGGTTCAGTTCAGCATTTATAGTACCCATAATCTCCCATTCACATAATCCATATCCCAAAACGATGATGTTATTCTTTTTAAACACTTGGATAATATACAAAGGACGGCATGGTTTATTAAAATTTACTACAATCAAAAAAACTACTTTGCTATGCGACTACACCACTACTAAATTTCGTTTCGAAGCAGAACGTGGCATGGCAGCCTCTTGTTTTTAAAAACAGCTGACATCAAATGAGTTATGAAATCTTTCATATTGCTTTACGTAGTAATATGATGTCGCAGTATATTTGCAGTATCAGTAAACTGAAATTTGTTTGTCTTGAACTGTATTTCCACCTGTACATCTTCACCTATGTGTTGCATATTCCACAAAAAGCTAGCGGGACAAAGTTAAATAGCACTTGTAGTATGGCGAGTGCATTATAAAAGACGTTATTAATAGGGTTGGGCGATGTCTACCAAACTGGCATCGGACGATGTCTACAGTGAAACACTGTGATGGACGATGACATCGGGGGGCGGGGTTAGGGGTGTGCCCGAAGCGTGAAACAAATAACGCGTTATACGGAGCCACTAAAAGGTTAGCCGCTTGCTAGCGGTAGCCTGTTGCATTACAGTACATGAAAGTTCACTTACCACATACACAGAGTAAGGAGAAATGTCTGATAGGACGATGGCGAATGATTTGCAGATCCTGAGCACCAATGACAAACATCTAATCTTGTCAAATGTGTGGTAAGTACTGCCGCTCCATAGTATTGAGTCCTTGTGATTGCGAATCTCAAAAATGAAAGTTATATACAGTCACCTATACTTATCCAACGATATAATTGCTTTTCTCGTAGGCTATTTATTCCCTTTAGGGTTTCCGTAGTACACTTAATTTCCTTTCCGAACACGGAACTGGGATGCGGCGGATTGCGGGAGAGGGGGTGGTGGGGGATCACGATGTCAGCTTAACATCGTGATGTCTGCCAGCCATCGGCGATGGACGATGGCATCGTTTATCGGCCCAACCCTAGTTATTAACTTTACACAAGTGCCTTTTTCGCACCGATTTAAGGAGAAAAAAAAGCTTACTCTGTTATAACTGTAGTGATAGTGACAGTTTGTTATGGCCTACCATTGTTAAAGAAGGACATATCATCGCTGAATCGTTCATATTGCTGCAGTCTCAGTAGGCGCCCTTGGCACATGAATTTCTCTGAGTTTACAGTAATGGTTAGCTCCTAGAAACACTTATCAGGATGGCTGTGAAGTGACAGAATGAATTACACGGTTTCTCGAACACTGATATAAATATTAAGTGTGTCTAACCCTAGTCTGTGTTGACGTGGTACCCATTGAAATCAAGTGAAGGAGGAGCATTGGATGTGAAAGATCAGTACCGGCGGACAGCTACACGAAGCGTCTTCTTCATATTCAACCCCAAAAAGTGTTTTCTTTTGGCTTTTGTAGCCCTTGCGCACACAAAAAGACAAAAAGTTTGCCGTTTTCTACATCCTTCATCCGACGTCGTCTCTTCTCTAGGGTGAGTCCATCATGGCCTCCAGCATCTCCAGGAAGAGTTTGTGCATAGGCACGCCGCCGCGGGTTTTGATGCTGTAGAAGGTGGTGAGGGCCCGGCCGGCGGTCTGCCTGAGGAGGGGCAGGGTGAGGAGGAGACGTCCCACACGCTGAGGGTCGTCAGGGTGTCGCTGGACCTCCAGCTCCAGCAGAGCCTGATGCAGCAGGTCCCGTAACTTCTGCACGGCCTCCATGTCCTCGATGTACACCGAGTCTGAAAGAGGAGAAGAGGATGAGTGATTAGACCTTCATATCTAAACGGGCCTGTTTACAACTGGTCACTTTATGCGTTTTCTCTGATTCGATCGTGAAAAGACCAGGTGTAAATGCCCTCCGAAACGCTTTCGAGACAGATTTAAATCTGATCGCTCAAACCGCTTCAGGAGGTGGTCTTTGACGCATCCCAGACGAAACTGAACAAGGGTAAATGCATCTGGTTGTTAAAACCACATATGTAAATTTTATTCCTCCCAAAATGTAATTATTTTTTTTATATATATATAAAAGTTATTTTTATGGGCTTTTTATACATTTTTTATTGAGATACGACAGTAGAGAGATGACAGGAAAGCACTGGGAGGAGAGAGGGGAGCGGGATCGGCAAAGGACCTCGAGACGGGAATCGAACTCGGGTCTCCGTGACCGCAGTCGCACTATGTGTCGACGCACTAACCACAAGGCTATTGGCGCCGAACTCCTAAAATGTTAAAATAATAAACGTGTGAGTAAGTTATAGTCAGATACGAGAGAGCTAAAGCTACATGCATCGTCATGAATGAGTAGCTGAGTATTTCTTCAGCAAACCGACGTGCAAACTGCCGCAAATGAAACTGAAAGTAAGTCACAGACACTCAACACACACAATCATTCATAAAAAGTAGTAATACTAAGTTATCTTTCCAGTGCTGATGCCGCTCTCGCACCTGTCTTTCATCTGGAAATTAGCTGATGATGAATAAAATGTTGTGCATATCTGTTGCTTTCGTTGACGTGAACGTAAATTTGCATATAGCGCGGGAATTTAAGATCTGATTTATATCAATTTTGTGGAGATACATTTATGTGGCCAAGTGTAAATGGAACCGTTTTAACAAATCAGATAGATATCCGATCAGAGAAAACGCTTGAAGTGACCAGGTGTAAACAGGACCAATAAAACCAACGTTACTCTTCCAAAGTTGTGATTTCATCTCAAGTATTCAGGAGAACAAAATCATTACTTCTGAGAAAACTGGCACAAAATAAAAAAAACTGAAATTTTAACTATTGAAGCCACTTTAATTGAAAATACTGAATTACATGTGGCTTAGAGAGTGCAGACAAAAATGAACTTCAAGTTGCAATTGCTTTATGTCTGTAATGACAGCATGTCGGATCATTCTACAAGCAAATTATTCAGTCATATGACTTTTTGATGAATTAATCCAGTAAATGTGTTTATGCGCAGACATTCTAAATTAAATAAAACATTTATCCACCTCAGTTGAGCGCATACATTTTTTATGTGTATTTAGGAAATTTTTTGTATCTTTCCGTTTCCACCTAGCTATTTTATGCATTATACCAAAATCTGCATAAATGTAGATGTAAACCTGAAAAATCACGTTTGGTGACGTGAACTGGCATAAAGCGAAGACATTTGAGGACCTAAACATCACAGATTTACCTCATGGCTGAATTCAAAGAATACTGTTTTCTACTGTAATATGCTGATTTAGTGCTCAAGAAATATTTATTATTATTATTATCAATGTTAAAAACAGTACTGTCGCTTCGGTTCAATTTACTTCATCCTTTCTAAAAATATAAATTTCTTAAAAAAAAAAAAAATACAGACCCAAATTTTTTTGTGAATGCTAGTATACTTTAACATTTTGAATGTATTATTAGATGTATTGTCCCTAGATAATGACATCTTGTTTGTTGTGATGTCCAAAGAAATTCCAATGTGAATGCAGTTTTATGAGGATTACTGCAAGGAGCATTTACAAATGCAGTTGTATATCAACAAATTTAAGAAATCCAAAACATATAATATGAACCTCTCTTGCTAATTAACTCTTGCCACGTGTGCCAAAGGTCACTGCCCCATGAATAGTTGTGTTGGTGGGGGCTAATGTTTAGCATGTACACACAGATATATGAGGTGTAAGGAAGAGGTCTTGGGTGTGTTCAAGATTCAAAGCATGCGACTCCCAGAGTATTTGCATAACAAATACAGATTCTGTGGGTGAAGCAGATACGGGTGTTGAATTTAATATTTGCAGTAATCAAATGTTTAATGGGTTCTTCCGGGTGGGGGATGAATTCGTACAAGCAAGACGGTGACAAGACAGGTACGTTTACTACACAAAACAGAATACGGTCTGGTCTTAATTACTGGCTGACTCAGTCGGGTCATGCAGGTTGTGATCAGAAGGTAGCTGGTTGTTCAGGGAACAAAACTAGACTGCGGAATGAATGAGTCATTAATAGGAAAATCTTGACAGGAAGTGCACCTGAGTTGGTGAGCGCGATGGCCTTGAGCATGACGAACTCCTCGCGGTCCAGCTGCAGGGCTCTGAAACGCCGAGCGAGCTGGCTGATGGCGGCGTTGAGCTCAGTCAGACCGGCCACACGAGACATCTCCTCATCCAGCACAAAGTCCTCAGCAAACACCACCTCGTCCTCACAGCCGAGAGAACGGTACGCCACCCCCAACACCAACACCTCCAGCCACACCGACTGCAACACGGACATCTGGTCAGCCAGTGACAGCGAGAGAAAGCCTGGATGAGGGAGAAAAAAAAGAGAGAGGTTCACGCCACACGTCCACTGGTGCAGAAGAAAACATGCTCAAAATACCCAAACACAGATGGCTCGTCTTAAATGAATGCAAAAGGTTGGTCAAAAATCAGATGGGTGACAAAGTATTGAAATATTAGCGTAAAAGACCTGCCACAGTCTGTTATGTCAGTATTATTAATAAAACATTTTAAAAATTACATGAAAAAGTGAAAACCAGTTAACACTGTTTACTGAATAATTGATTTGAAAAAAACTGAAGCAATACTTGCTTAATTGAGAAAGGCTACATGATATTAATTAATACTGTTATAATGTTTTTATTCATATATATTAATGCATTTATTAATTAACTGCATTTATTAATTTAATTCAATATAGTAATACGTAACGATGTGAAACTCCAGCACTGTCGGTAGATTTCGAAAAGCTTATGACAGATGTCACCACCTTCACCTCATAAAGACGCATTTTTCGCCACTCATTTGCATAATGTTGAACATTTCTCAACTTTTTGTCTCTGTCAGCACTGTTAATCCCACAATCCTCCCCTCCTACGGAGACTGTAAAGGCCCGCTCTTCAGATCTAGTGTATGTGGAGTGCAGAGAGCGGGATAAGAGTTGTTGTTGAGTACCTAGACACAGTGGACACTCACAATAGTGCTCTAAATTTGGAGGTCTTGAAAATAGCCAGAGACTGACAAAAGCGGTTGAAATCGCTCCTTCCAAGGCTGAGCTCGGACAGCAATTAGGAGAAAAGGCTTCCACGTTCTGACTGGAGCTCTGACTCACCTGCTCCAGTTCCCTTCAATTATAATCTTTCTTTAGGCACCTGTTCTCTACAGACAGCTGTGATTGATCAGGACTTTCAGGCAGTGCAGAAATGTGAAAATATCAGTGACTAAAAAGCTGCTAACTGTTTTCTAGCTGGCTTTTTCATAGCCTCCTGAAATATTAGCCTGTTATTGGCACATTAGCATATGATCTGCTTTCCTTCCAACCACCAAGTATATTAGTGCAACTTGGCCAGTAAGTAACACTTCCCAGTAAAATGTGTAAGTATAAGTACCCAGATAAACCGTTTGCATGAGTAAACATGATGAATAACTATTACCGTGAATGAAAAGAGGATATTTCAGGAAGAGGATGTCTGCTACTTTTTGCACAGATTGCAAGCGACCTTTGCCACTACAATTAATACAATTACGCTTTTTATTTCTAGTGGAAAATAGTGGCCATTCATAAGATCTGGTTTACAGTGCAAATTATTCTGGCCAGTTAGTTTATTCAGTCGCCATAATTGCAGATGTCTGACTGACATAAAGCAAAAAATATTGTTCCTTTGTTTTTACATGCATGAAATAGATTAGGCCATAATAATGGACCACCATAAAAACAGCAGGAACTAACAAACAAATTGCAGAACATACAAACTGTATATGAATTTAACAATACTTACTAGTTGTTTAAAACACAATTTGATGCCACTAAACTGGCAGGTGATTCCTGACAAAATCCAGTGATTATTTCATCCTCCATTAGTCTAATACACTATAGGATGCGTCTCATTTAGATCCCTAGGTCAAGAATCACTATATCATGTACACTAGGAGTGGGCGATATACCGGAAGACACTAATTGGCTGACATTAGACAACCGGTAGAGATTTTAGACCATCGTCTCTATTGTGGTTACACGCTCATGTGATGTTGCTGTGCTACGTGGTCACGAGAACTTATCGTTTGCACTTGTTTTAAGCATTGCTATTTAAAAACAAGTGATTTTAAGCCGTTAAAACGCAATCAGCAGCGAAAGAGAATTAATTTCGCTATATGCATGCACTGTCTGAGAGAACGCTGTCAGAGAGCCGCGAGCACATGAAGACGGTGTTCATCATAGAGCGTGGGAGTATTGAACGGAGTCTTTTTTGGCGCTTTATAGGCTTTGATACATACACTTTCATGTGTTAAAATGCCCGTCTTTGCAAGTATCCTTGTAAACACAGTAATTTAGGTCTTAAGTGAAAGCAAACAGCTGAGAAAGAAAACATGTGTAACAGTATATTGGATCCGGGCAGCTCTTAAAGTGACAGCAGTCTAATATTCCTGCTGTCTGTCATTCATGTTAATCAAACAACAAAAGAGTGAAAATCTCTCACTGCTCTCGACTAAATCACTTTTGTAACTTTAATAAGAAGAAATACATATTTAATTTACAGTGATGAAAATGCAGTGTTTTTATTCATTTGATTACTTTATACAATATATTTAGCGTTTCTTATTTATTTGTTCTACTGCAGTTCTTTTGTCCTATTGCTTGTAAGTAGTTTATTCTTATTTACTCGCTGACCGTTTACTTGTCTTCAGTGAGCTGTTTTTTTTTTTTTAGGCTAGTATTAGTTTTTTGTGATATTAACACTGGAATGAAGAAATTTCTAAGGTATCAAAAATGTTGATATCATAAAGACCTTATTTAAAGCAAAAATAACTATATCGTGATATATCGTTACCATGAAATAAAATGACTCGCATCATGATATAAGATTTCGGTCATATCGCCCACACCTAATGTACAAAAATTCACACTTCAGAATAAGGGAACATGGCGACCATTGATGCTCCCTGCTTTTCATTGTGCTTTGTAGAGAGTCAACATTTCAGTGTACTGGAAGGTTTTTGCGATTGAGACAGCCTCCCTGATCAGTGCCCTGACTACTAAACTAGGGAGCTGATGGAGACGCACACTATGTTTTCAGGCAGAATGATATAAAACCCTTTGTGCCCTTAGTCAGCCAATCAAATAAGGGCTTACCAGATCAAGAAATTACTTTCTAGTTTCAAGTGCAATGTGAATCAGACAGTGAATCAGACTGAGACAAGCAGAACTATGTGGTAGCTTAAGTTAAGTAACAGGAGAGTGAGTAACCGGTAGCTCGACACCAGAATAGCTTCATTGACACGGTCTCCTTGCCAACCGTCTTGCTGTTCCTCTTCTTGCTCTCACTTACCAGGAATGTGCTTGGCCCAGCCGATGATGACAACTAGTTCCCGGTCGGCCAGGTCGCAGAGAGTGGTGAGCGTGCGCTGGGCTGTGTCAGGCTGCAGGGGGTCTGGCATAGCAAACAGCTTTTCTGGCTCCGCCACCAGCAGATGAGACACAATGATGCTGGATGAGCCTGAGAGAAACAACATTACTCAGCTGAATAATCAAGCCAAGTTTATGCAGTAGTAATTGCAGGCCATAAAATTAAGTTTGTTTAAAATAAATAAATAAAATTACACATACATTTTAAATTCTAAATAAATAAATCAATATTTGTTATTATTACCCTTCTCTCCCTCCTTCCTTAAAGGTATCGGTGCACTCTGGTACGTAGCATTCTCCATCTCCGGGCGTCTCTTATATTTCTGCCGTCCACCTCTGACTCGGTCCAGGCGGACACCTACACCAAACACAGAAAGAGGATTAGGATTTTGGCATTGCCTGTGGATCACACCGTACACTGAGGTACTTAGGTATCGTAAGAGAGAGGATTGGTTGTGCTGGCCAGGTGCCACCTTACCTTCTTTGAGCATGCCTACTTTGAGGCACTTGGTGAAGCGACACGCCTGACAGGCCTTCCTGCGGCGCTTGGTGATCTCACATTCATTGGAGGCAGGACAACTGTACTCAATATTACCTGTTAGATGGAGGTGAAGATGTTATAAAAATGTCCAGAACAGTGTTTTCTAGAGAAGTAAGTTTTTGTAGCAAAGAGCTCACTAATATACATTAAAAATATGATCTATTATTTATAAAAAAACAATGTTTGTATACAACAAATATCAATAATTAACATAAAAAGAAGTAATAATATTTTTAATTATTAATATTTAATCTTTTTAATGTTATATATTTTTTAATTTAATTAAAATAATACAAAATACCTTTAATTTCATGTCATAAGAACTAGTCAGTAACGATAATACATTTTTTAAAAATTGTGATACACAAAACAGCTCAATTTTCTCTGATTCACACAACTAGCGGGCTTGGCTCACTTACAAGCTATCTGTAACGACAAGTGAATCTGGTACACAGTAAGACATGCTCACCCTGTATCGTTCTTTTGAAGAAAGCCTTACAGGCTTCACAGGAAGCCACTCCATAGTGGTAGCCAGAAGCCACATCTCCACACACCAGGCACAGTCTTTTGGGAAGAGTGCTTAGCGCATACTTGCACCGGCCTCCTCCGCTACCGGTAGAGCCCTCCTCGGCTCCATCCGCACCCTCCTCCTTAAAATGGCAACGTAACGCAGGCGTGTAAGGGGGCGGGGAGTAGCGGCCAGCACCTTCTCCTCTGGATCCCCCTCCTCCACTCTGAGAGGAGTCTGAGGACGCTCCTCCCGGGCTGGTCCTCCCGCCGCCTCCGCCTCCACCTCCGCCGCCTCCACCGCCACCACCTCCTCCATCGGGACTGCTGGGTTCAGCCTTTATGTACAGGTCGGAGCGTCGCTCTCTAGAAGACATGATACCTGTGAAGAAAAATGTGTGACAGTGAGGAAAAAGAGGGACCTTTTCAGTTTTTATTTCATCATAATCATCATCACCTTGAAGGTCAAGACTGGATGTTTCAACATCTGATTCATTTTCAAAATCCAGTTTTAAATCTGATACATATCTGGAATTCAACCATTCGACACATCAAAATGAATGCATGGGAATTAGTATGTGTGAATCCTGAAGGTTAATCATCAGATTGAAGGTGAAGTCATGCATCTAATGTCACAGAACAACTAGGGTTGGAAATGAACATGGGCTTGAGTAGGGCTGGACAATAATTCAATATCAATATGTATCGCGATATAATTTTTTTCAATAACGGTGATATGATTTTTAAACACATTTCCGATATTTCGATATTTCAAAAAACATTTTCGTAAACTGAAAAAAAAAAAAAAAAAAAAATCAAAATAAATTGATGTGTGTCGGTTTAGGGCAGGGGTTTTCAAACTGTGGGGTGCGCCCCCCCAGGGGGGCGCCAGCAACTGTCAAGGGGGGCGCGAGCATCAGTTAATTCAGAGACGTTCCCTGGAGAATTTCTGAATACGAGTTAACAAATCTTTAGCCATCCACTAGGGGGCAATCTGACTCCCACTGCTAGTCGACAGTTAGAGCAGAGTTTGCTCGAGTATCAGTTATGCTCAGTGTTGCCAAGTCTGCGGTTTTCCCTGGTTCCCTGGTTTAGGGAAATACCGGGAAATACCCGTAAATGGTGCATCATGCACGTGAGGTTATCTGACGGAGAGACGCAAAGCAGTTTAAAGCAGAGT